CCCCTACGCCCCCACAACCCCCCCTCTGCATTCTCTATGGAATCTATAGCCCATATTTTGGGTGGTTCTTCCCACCCCAATTAATCCAGTCTAGAAATTCCCAAACAGACATGCCCAGAGGGTTGTCTCCTAGGTAATTCTAGATCTCTTCAATATTAGCCATCACAGTTTGTCAGGACTCTTTAAAACAAAAAAATTTTGCCTCATATTTATTTTTTGTGTGTTTTTTGTTTGTTTGTTTTTGTCTTTTTGAAACAGGGTCTCCCTGTAGCCCCAGCTGTTCTGGAACTCACTATGTAGACCAGGCTGGCCTTGAACTCACAGAGAGCCGCCTGCCTCTGCCTCCCAAGTGCTGGGACTACAGGTGTGCGCCACCACGCCCGGCTAACTTTTTTTTAATAGTACCCCTATCTTGAAGAAACTCCTGCCATCCATACCCACCTCCCCCCCTTATGATACTGAAGTGGCTGGCCACTGTTAGAGAAAAACACATAGCAATATGCCTTCTATTACTAAGTCTCAATCACAAAGCATAGCTGAACCCTCAGTACTACCTAGCAATACTGTTCATTTTAAAAAATTGTTCTCTTACTAAAAGCTACTCTTTCATAACTTTGCTAGTTTCCTCAAACCTCGATACAACCCAGCTGTTTGTATAGTGCTTCACATCTATAAGCCTAGCAACTCTGAGACTAAGGATTCAAGTTTGGAGCCAGGCAGCATGAGCTCCTTGAGGAGACCATGTTTCAAAAACACAAAAGTCAACTACAAAATCTACTCCAAACTTGCCCTTTCTAATTCTCTCAAAGCATTTTACTCTATATCATAGAGAAATTTGAAAATATCAGGATCAATGTCACTGAAATATCCTCATTACTAGAGACTTAAGGGATAAAGTCAGAGAAGCCAGATCAAGGTAGGGGGCCAGTGGTAGATTGTAGACCATCTTAAGTTTATATTAGAGCAATAGAAAGCATTAAAAGGTTGCCAGCAGAAAAATGAAATATGGCCTGTGTTTTCAAAAAGACAACTGGGTGCTTTGTAGAGAATGGACTGCAGTGGCATGAGACTCAGAAATCCAGGTGGTTGATAATAATGGCTTAAGCCTGTTTATGGCACTGAAGATGATAAGTGGTTAGATCCAGATGTAATTTGAAAGGAGGGCCAACAGATTCACTGATAGGAGCACCATCATACATCTCTGCTTCTTAACTGCAGACACAGTGTGACCAGCCTCCTCACAGTCTCACTGCCGTGCCTTCCCTACTATGATAGACTGTGTCTGCTCATGAGCTAAAAATAAACCCCCTCTTAAGCTGATTTTGTCAGGTATTTCATCACAGCAACAAGTAGCCAATACAGAAAATTGGTACCAAATTTTTGTGGTAACCCTGACCATGTGGTTTTTAGGCTTTCTGAACTGGTTTTAGGAGGAATGAGGAAGAATTTGGAGCTCTGAGCTAGAAAAGCACTAGAATGCTGTAAACGGTGCTTAAAGGGTCATTCTGGTGGGAGTTTGGAAAGACAGGGTGTCAAGAGAAATGCAGATAGCAGAGGCCAGGATCTTGAGGTTTCAGACAGGAACAGGACTTTTGGGAACTGAGCTGGAGTCCAGTCTAGCAAAGAATCTGAATGCATTCTTCCCAGGCCCTGAAAACAACATAACCTCCAGGCCATGGCACAGTTCCTGTTCACTGTTCTTTTTTCTTTTCTTTCCTTTTATCAAAAATTTTTTATTTTTATTTTATGAGTGTATTGCCTACATGTATGTAAGTGCACCTGTGTCGTACAGTGCCCGTGTAGATCAGAGGAATGCCCCTGGAACTGGAGTTACAGACGGTTGTTAACCATCATGTGAGTGCTGGGAATTGAACCCAGGTCCTCTACAAGAGCAGTCAGTACTCTTAACCACTGAGTCATTGCTCTAGCCTCCCCACCCCCACTCACTGTTCTTAGATCTACAGTGACAGAAAGCAGAAAGGTGTGAGAAATCTGCAGTTCAGCTAGGAAAAGAGTGAGTATGGATAAATCAGCTGTGGTTGTTAAAGAGATTAGTACTATTAAAGAGAAACTTCTCACTGTGCAGTGGGAAATAGGGAATGATGCCCTGAGGGCAAGACTCCACACATTGAAGACTCTAGTTTATGAAAATGCTAATTCATTTGAAAGATGAACCCGTATTGAGATGCTGCTGATGGGCTTGGGAAGCATCTTTTTGTTTTTTGTGGGGTTTTTTTTTTCCAAGGTTCAGCCACCAAGGTGCACACAGGCAATTCAGCTGTGGTAAAATATGGCCACACTCCATCTCAAGCTGGCAGAACTTGGAAGCATCATTCATGGTGCTGGTTTTGTAGACATGCAAAAGGCAAGAGGTATAGAATCATGGGGACTTGCACCAAGATTTCAGAAAGCCACATTGTGTAGCAAGGCCAGATTTCCTGCAAGGAGACCCTGAAGAGGCCACTGCGTAAACCTGTAAAGGTGAAGACTAACTTACAGTGGAGACCTCAGGGTGTTGAAGATAACAAGACCATGGAATATCATCTAGAGGGTGTGAGACTACCCAAGCCTGGTGGAACTCAGATGATGCCATCACAAGCACGGGTGCTGGGCATAAAGCTACAGGGTTTGGTGTTTTCCCTACTGGATTTGGTCTTGTTTTGGCCATTCTTTGCTTGCTATTGTCCCATTTCTTCCTTTATATACTGGAAGTATGTAACTTTTTAAACAAGGGCTCATGATAGATTACCCTGAGTCTCCGAAGAGACTGGAATTTTTAAAATTTTTATTATTTGACAGTTTCATTCATATAATGAATTTTAGTCATTTTTACCCCTTATTCCCCACTCTTATCTCCCACTCCCACTGAAATTCTTCCGAACAGGTATTTCTCCTGCTTTAATGTTGTGTGTGTGGTGTGTAAAACCCACAGAGTTTAATTACAATTTCTTGGCTGACCATGGGTGGGAGATTATTTATTGGAGCAAGAGCAACTTACCTGTTCCTACCTACACTACTGAAGAAAATTACATCTCTTC